AATGATTCTAAAAATAGCACCACAGAGTGCTCGTGATGGGGCGCGGGGATTTCATTTTCTCTTGTATAATACTTTTAGGTACAAGAGACTGCAGTCAATAGCGTTCACACAGCAACTACTGGAGTCGCCATTGCATCTACCGTTGCCCTATTCACACCGTTGGCAGTTTTTGGCGTAGTAGGGTTGATTGGGTCCGGCGTAGGCGCTGCGGCTGTAACAGTTGGTGACGCTGTTTCTAACAGAGTGAAAGCTAAAAAAATCAAAGAACTCGTGGAAAGCAAAGCTATCCTTTTGAAAAAGGCAGAAGAAAAGTTGAAAGAGCTTCAAGATATCATCAAAAAAGTTTCTGATGTTGGAAAGATTCCCATCACAACTGCAAATAAAATATGCTTTGGTATGATGGATATTGCCAGAGCAGGGGCGGGAGCGAGTATAACCCTGCAGGGCGATACGATAGCCACGTTATTTGGTATGTTTCAAGTGTGGAGGGCAGGGCAGCTAGCGCCGAATGGTCTTGCTGTAATTCAAGGCGTTTCTGGCGCAGGATCTATTCTAATCAGTGGTCTTGGAGCTGTTGTTGGGGTGTGGGTCGTAATTGACGGATGGTTTAATGGTAATCCTACTAAAAAAGCGACAATTGATACGAAAAAGCAATTGGAAGAATCAACAAGAGCCATTTTGAATTTGATTAATATATTCGAGGGTAATCAAAACGAATAAAATTTCTCTCATGTATAGAGAGGCGGGGATGCTCGTCGAAAATTCCGAAGGGGAGGGGGGTGGTGGGTTACTCTCATATATAGAGAGGCGGGGATGCTTGTCGAAAATTTTGGGAATGACTCCTAAGGTATAAAAATCCGGGTCTTGTCCCATCCAGGTGGGCAGTGCGTGGTATTAACTATCGAGGTATCAACTATCCATTACCTAAGTACTGCATGTAACAAAAGGCAGATGATGAACCGAAAATATATATCCTGAAATCAGTATACTGCCATTCTGACTGTCGTTAATATAATCTTTGGTATCTTATTACCTGACAGAACACTGAGATTTTGTGACACCAGTACGTGCATGGTATAACAAATCGCAGATCGGGAACTAGCAAGTTAATAATGCGTGGAATGCAAATAGAGTCCTAAAATGTAAGCGGGGATAAATTATTATGCAATCATTTGTTAAATCTGTTTTTATGTTCATAAGGAATAATTTTCAATTGGGGCTAGAGCCCTGTTAATTATTAAGGCCTAAAAAATTCACGTTATTAAATGATTAAAAAAAAAACAACATGACAAGCATGCGTGTTACTTTACGAGCTTTTGAAGTGACCATACTCGATGATCCTTAAGTAAAGTAGCCCCGTTTAACTGAATTATTTTCCTTTTAGAAAGACCTCTTTACCTTGGGTGTGATGTTTTCCCATTTCAGACCACGTGTTATTCTCTTGTGAAAAAGATTCTTTGTAGAAGTTCCATTTCCATCCATTTAATTGTGTTCTCGTGCGCAACCGTTAAGCAAAGAACTGATACTCTAGAGAATGACAGGTGGTCTGAAATAAAATGTAAAAAAAAACACATTACGACCAAGGTAAAGAGGTCTCTTGAAGCGCAGTCTTTATCACATGTATATAAAAATTTGATTTAGCTCTCAAGAGCGAGAGCGCTTTTCACAATTTTATTACAGTCTCAAACTGAGACAAATTCGAGCGCTGAATGTTTTGGATTTCTGCATGGTCTTTATAGGGAACCAAACCTGGAGCGAAAAGGGAAATTAGCACAGCGACTCGATGATTTCTTTCATTAACCAGAAGCTCGTTTACAAAAAATCACAAAAGAGTCGTGAATAAATTATAACATATCGTGAAAAAAAAAAGTTTTAAATGATAAAAGAGCTTTTTTTTTCAATTATATTATAGCGAATCCATATATATGTGGTTTTCACATTAGCGCTTTACCATTCAAAATTCACCAATGAAAAGTGTTTGATTAAGGCTTTCTGAACAATTCCATACCACCTGGAATTCATCAAGATGAGAACAGAGATCTTCTAAAAGACTTTTGATTGAACAGAATTGAAAGGCAACACAGTTGTTCCCCGGAACGAAGCTCTAATGTGTTTGTTTTTCTCAGCTCTTGTGTTTCTCGAACTATCGGAATTTGAATTCAATTTGTAATYTTTTTAAGAGCTTTTTCGTTTTTGGATTTACTGGTGAAATCCTGAGGCTTTCTGCTCCGAACAACCGTCCTCCTTTCAAGAATGAATGATTTATTACGAAACAACAGCAACTTCAAGTATTCCAAAAAAACTGCCAGAAACATCCTTGTCATTGTATTTGTTTATGGCATACAAGAACTTCTGAGAACCCAATTCTTCAGGTTAGTGTAAAACAAACTATAGGATTCTGACTTTTTGAGGATTTAAACTATCAATTCCAGACAAGTATTTTTTTTCACTTTAAATCTAATGAGTTAGAAATTATTCATGAAATTTGGCGGTTTTCTCTTCAACAAGAAGCACCGTTATTGTCGAATTTTTGACCTTAAAATTTTTGGACACATTTTTGCACTTAAATTTTCTTCAATCAATAAAACCGTTAGTAATACATTGACTTTGGAATTTAAAGTATTTTTTTCTTTTCAACAAGTCTATAAAGGACATTTCTTTCCACTGAACAGAAGAATGTATGATTCGGAAATTGTAATTTAGACAAATGGAATCAAACAAATCGTATAAGTGAAAGTTAATTGTTTTAATATCATGTGGTTCGAAATTTCAAATTATTTTTTTCCTCTTTTTAATTACACGGTTTTGAAAAAAATTCTTTTCTACAAGCAATGAAAGAGATAGATGAGAATTTAAGATTGTAATTCAGAGCAAAAAGTAGTATTTTACAAGGACAAATGTTTTATAAATCAAACTAATATAATACTGCTTTAATGAAAAGATGTGTTGAATCAGACCTGCCATATATTTTATTAATGTGAGTTGTCAAAATATATAAACATTGTTCTGAAATTATTCTCTTCTTAATGAGCTAAAATTTAAACAAAATTTTACGTCTTGATTCAAAAATTAACTGCTTCATAATACACTCAACAAAATTACACGATTCCGTTTGGAAAAGAGGAGTTCAATTAAATCCCAAATTGTACTCTGTAGAGTCCCAATTCAATTCGAGTGCTCAATTTTGTGTATTATTTAAAAAATCTCACAATCTACTCGTACTATTCGGAATCTAAAGATATTCGTGATGTTTCAAAGGTTCTCAAATTGAACTCGATCGCCTAAAAGGCTCGTCCTTATTTTGAAAACTTTCAAAACACCACTCGTACTTATAACTAAATTCCGAATTGTACTCGAGATGGTGCGATTTCCTAAACTTATTTCCTGCTTATATCAGTAATAATGTACAATAATATTCATAATAATAATATACTTTAATGGCTGCTTTGGTATTTTAGATGTCCGTGCAAAAACTATGCTCTCTACAGCTTCATTATGGTAGCAGCTCCTATGTTTTTCCTTCTTGGCATTGGATTCAGCTCAAGTGATGGCTACTGGTCTATCGTTTCCCGACGAAAACATATTACAAACAACAAACTTCGACTCAACTACTGCCTGAGGTCCCTGCCAAGTCTGTTTGAGCCGTTCTTGCCAGCGGCTGCTTTTATTGTATTCGTTTTGATGAGAGGGGAATACTACGCATGTGCGAAAATTGGAGGACGAGACGGTACATGTTTGGCCAAGCAGGGACTGGAACAAAATTTAAAGGTAATTGATATATATATAGCCGCCATCTTGGTTGACAATAACAAAGCATTCCTAATTAGCTTCTCTCGTTAGATCAAACTAACAGGACGGTATTTTCATTGTTATTTATAGATCTCAAGGGATCTTGAGTCACATRGTTGCACGTACACTGGTTAGGAAGATTCTAGTGCATGAAACCATAATATATTAACTTCTAAATATTAACATATTTAAACGATAGGAAACACAAGAATTTGCTCAATTTAGTACAATCTAGTCTTAATACTTTTTAATCCTTTTTCATGAGTTTATTGTGTTCTGATTTTTAAATTTCATAAAGTTTATTTTGTTGTGCTATTTAGTCTTTCATAAGGCTGAGTTCATAATGTATGGCAGGGGGGGGGGGGGGCAGGTGAAAATTTGAAATGTCCAGAATAATTCTTAACACCCCCCTTAAAGTCGTGCAAAAAAAATACGATCCCTCTGAAGTAAGGCTTGTAGCTTCTTCCAAAAATTGTGCATCCCCCCATTTTTCTGATAAACAGTTGCCCATCCCACCGTTCTTCCTACCAACATTTTCCCGTTCCCCCTCAATTTCACCTGACCACCCCCTCCCCCCCCTCTGCCATACATCATGAACGCAGACTAAGTTTTATGAGATATACGAACACATTGAACCCTTCTCAAAAGGATATTTTATGCGAGGTCAACATGGAAATACAAAAGAAATCGCCATTTTTTCAATGGCATTTCTATTGCATTTTTATGGTAGCTAATTTTAAGAGGGGTGCATTAATGAAATCAAACTTAAAACTTGTTTTCAGACAACAGCTCAAGAAATAGCAAAATTCAACACTCAATCTCAACTTCTTGGCTGTGGCATTCTCGCTGGAATCACAATATTCGCTGTGGGAATTCTTTTCATTCGTAACYGCTGCTTCGAAAGTGATGTCATTCCTGGCAGCGAGGAGTTTCGCTTCATGGAAAACCAAGTATTTTTTGCTGCTTTCAGAGACAAAATGAAGGATGCCATTGAGAGYGAAGTGAAGAGAGATATGGAGGAAGCGTTTGACGGGATGAACAACGAACGACAAGATGCAGAAAGCGTCTTCAGAAAAGCAAGAGATCAGATCTACCAGAAGAAATCCTTGAAAAAGGTTGGGGAATTTTCAAGGCTCAACTTTCATGAAGATGGTCATTCCTCTCCTAGAGTTGCTGACTCGAGCTTTTGAAGAGCTCGAGCCCGCGGAAGGGAGGGACGGGGAAGGGAGTGTCTTTAAAATCGATCCCAGAGTTTTCTTTTTTTCTTTTCTTTCTTTTGCTACCTTTTTTTTTTTTTTTTTTTTTTTGCATTCATCCTACACCATCTCTTTGATACGACCAAAACTGTTACCTAAAACATACCCCCTTAGTAAATCCCGACCTTATTAATCCGACCACGACCTTATTAATCCGAACATGATAAACCTTTATATTACGACCGTTCTAGTAAGATAATCCAGGCAGTCCTCAATACGAATAACACTATTGAATTGCAAACTTGAAAATACGACCGCCTTAGTAAGCCACGACCTTATTAACCCGAACATGATGAACATTTATATTACGACCATTGAATAAGAAAACCTTTATTACAACGACCACTTAATTCAGTCTAACATGACAATAGTACTAATAATGCGAACATACCTTCATTCATCTCATGTCATCGACTTGTTTTTTTTTCCAGCCGTATGAGTATGACCAGATGAAAACACGTCAAGCATAGGACACTTCACATCGACCTATGTTCATTTTTCAATCTCACTAGAGGAAACACTTACTTCCTGCATGAAGTCATTATGACTTCCGGTTTCGAAATATTTTGTAACCTTTACAAATTTGCATGCTCATCACATTTTTATTTTATTTCATCAATTATATATTATTATTATTGTTATTATTTCATTTACGAACCAAGAAGCAAACGAACATCTTGGATTTGCACAAAGCTACGCTTGATCAAAATTTCTCTACGYTCATTTTTCCAACCTTCGTTGCTCGGACGTATACTTCGAATTCCGGTTACGACTGCTTTCCGAGAGTTTTGGCGGGAAAAAGAACTTTATCAGCTAGCGTGCATGCGGCTGGTTTCCAACTTCGCGCCAAAATGAATCAGCCAATTAAACTAAAGCAGAAAGTCATAAAGTAACATCATATAACTTGAATGCAGTCTACTCAAGAATAACCGTCCATTATCTTTTAAAACACATAATGGAACTAGTTTAATTTCAAAGTCGTTCTCAGTCAAAACGTGTTCTACGTACTTTTCTTATTTGGTATATGAAAATCTGAATTATTCTATTTGAAGGTTGAAAGCGATTGATAAACAAGCAGTCTTYTTGAGGGGTAGTTATTTTAATATACAATGAGTGAAGCTAAAGACAAAATGGAGCTCATGAATTTTTTATATAAATTGGCGGTTMWTGTCTGATGGAATRTWCTTAATGTCTAGCATTATTTTATCATATATTCCACTAAACTTGGTTTTTTTTTTGTGTTATATAAGGCTAGTTAATCGTAGTAAGTGTTCAATATGGCACCTATAAGTAAAGAAAGATGGTACCTATAAGTAAAGAAATAAAAACGAGCGAATGAATCAGGAACGAATGAAGGAATGAAGAAAAGAAGTAAATAAGGAGAAAATGAATGAATGAACGAACGAACGAACGAACGAACGAAGCAGAGTATGTTTCTGTCATTAAGTATAAATATCTAGATGCATCTTCAATTAAAGAAGGAAGAAAATGCCAAAGCAATAATGGAAGGAAATTATAAATAAAAGGAAAAAAAAGCTGAGATGAATGAATCAAAATAATCAAGTTTCAAAGTCAATTGAACAGTGGTCAGTCGCATCAATACAGATGGGCACTCATTTAACAAGGAATGATAAAGACTAAGCACTCGTCTAAGTGGACTTCAATAATTCAGCATCTGAACAGACTTTTTCAGACTGAATTTTTAAGTTGGTTAAGTAAGTACAAATGTTAAAAGATTTATATTGACAATAAAGAGACATCCTAATGTCCTAATTCATCTGTATTTTATCCAACTTCATTTCAAAAGATGCAGCAAAAGGTAGAGTGAAATGSATTATGAATTGAAGAGGTCTATAAGATTTTAGTACACCAATTAATAGCCCGCATTTGAAGCAACTGACCTATGACTTGTCTCCGGCTCCAACCAACCCCCCACTCACCTACCTATCTACCAATCAACCTACCCACCCATCCACCCACCATCCCACCATCCCACCATCCCACCTAACCAACCAACCTTAAAACAAAAGAAAACGGACTTGAAATCGCATTGAAACCAGACATGTTTTTTTACTCTGCATGTAATCGTAGAGTTCCCATTACGATATCATATAGTAATACAAGTAACCATTTAGGATAATCGATTCAGTTACTCTTCCAGCCAATCATGCGCGTACGAAATCCGCCCGGGGGAGGGGGGACTCCGGGAAAAAAGTACCGGAGATGCTCGTCGGAAATTTTCAAAAAGACCCCTAAAAGATACCGGAAGTCTTTAAAAAAGGGCGTGGCTGAATAATTTTTAAYCCCTAAGAGATACCACAATGAATAATATTTTATTTTTTTTATAAAAAGTGCCCCCGGGGGAAATCCGTTCAAATCTAAAACCCTTTTCACTAACTTGGACATTGCTACATATATTGTTCCTTCATAGTTAACAAACAAGCAAAAATATGAACAAGAAACAAATGAGCATAGAGCATAGATATGGGATAGGCTAAGTTTCTTTGTCCATAATATGTCATATCTCTAGTTGACGTGACAACCAGCTTTCTTAACCAGACATTCCATGACTTTTAAGAGCTCTTAATGGAAACATAAACAAGAAACAAATGAGAGCATAGATATCATGGGATAGGCTAAGTTTCTTTGTCCATAATATGTCATATCTCTAGTTAATGTGACAACCAGCTTTTTTAACAAGACATTCCATGACTTTTAAGAGCTCTTAATGGAAACATAAACAAGAAACAAATGAGAGCATAGATATGGGATAGGCTAAGTTTCTTGTTCATAATATGTGATATCTCTAGTTGACGTGACAACCAGCYTTTTTAACCAGACATTCCATGACWTTTAAGAGCTCTTAGTGGTGGCTGTTCTAATGCACTGGATCTCTTTAAAGCACTCATGAAAAGCTTTAATTAAATGGTTTTTAGAAATAATTGCCAAGTACGTGACACTGCTACCAGCGTTTATCAAAAATGAATTGTCTTAAGCAACTAGTTTTTTCCATTTCGCTTATTTCATCCTTTTATTCTTTTTGATATATTCTTCGTAATTTTTTTATTTTTATTTTTTGCKTATTACTTGATTTTTTTTTTCTTCCCTCCCATTCTTGTACATTCTTTGTTTCTAATTTTCTTTCTTTATATCTTTCTTTTTCGACCTGTTTTTATTCTATAAATGTCGCTAATTTAATTTCCCATCATTATATTATTTTACCAAAACAAAAATATCGAAAAATTAATACTTTTACGAAACTGCACAAAGTTTACTTTGCAAAACRGAAGTTAGTTTGGCAAATATTTATTTGCTTGCTTATTATACAAGTAAAGAAAGGTTGTCATATTTTGCTAAGCATTTTCCCCTTTTTTTACTTTTAAATTAGCTGGACGTAATCTTGAATAAGTTCAATTTTAATTACTTCCTCTAAAAAGCCACTAAAATTASCTAAGAACGCCTACTTCAACGGATTTACCGCCTCCCAGATAATACATCTTGTTCGATATCCGAAAAAGAAATTCAAAACAAGTTGTTCTAGATTATTTGTGGTTTTGTGAGCAAGATTAAAGAGGGCAAATTTAAATGTATAATTTGTGGTGCAGGTGACGAGCATGCGCAGTGGAGTAGAATTYTTCAGTGTTTTGAAGTGTGAGTAGTTGAGCAAAACAAAGAAATCCTGCAGGAGTAAAAGAGGGAAGGAGAAGTTAACATGGAAAACTATCCTAATAACACGCCCAGAAGATCAATATTCAGGGACCTTCTCATAGGCAACGAACGGTAAACCAGATATTTAAATTCTAGTGCTTTTTTCTGCCATGCATTCTTGTTGTTTAACCATTTATTTATATCGGGACCGACTTCTGGCATCAAAAATTATATCATAATATCAGTCATAATTGCCTTGTCGAAATAGTTTTAATTTCAAGTATATTCCCAGTGTTTTCTATTTGTATTTTTCAATATAATTCTTTGCTGTTGCTTCGTTTGCTTAATTCTTCGAAGTCAGATGTAAAAGATATTATTACGAACTACGATTTGTGGTTAGGAAATTTTCTTTTAGCTACAGAGCAAGATTCAAGTTCAAACCTCAGAGAACGCGACTTCTGTTCAAAAAATCTAACCACAGATCGCTTCCTCAGATTCAATCTCTATTATGCTGTAAATAATCCCTTGACTATGACTGCTAGCGCTGTTTCCCAATCGAGATAATTCTGATAATAAGAATTCGATTCGGTGGCTAGTTATCCGCTCTCTATGGRATTCTCATTGGACTGAGTGCCCGAGACTGTCCCGTTGTATTCATTCCTATCCTAGATTAAGAAATTTGTACTTGGATCTCTTTTACACATTTTCAAGAATCATTTACACAAATATGACACATCTTTTCTTTGTTATTACAATGCTTTCATTCATGACTTTCATAGATTTAGAACATTCTTAGATTGAAATGTTTTTCTATGTTTGTATTGCTATTCTTTGCCATAATAGTGTTACGGCCTTATTAAATGTTTCCACTAAGAAAAAATAATTTCAGAAACACTTACCGCGAGAAAAATATGCAAATATTCACTTCTATTTCCTGCGTAACTGTGAATTTTCATTCATTGGCCGAAAAACAAAAGAATATTTTCTTGCTACTGTCGGGGAGTCTACCAATTGAAAAATGTCAACAAATTCAACTTAATCAAGAACAACGTTCTTGTCTTTTGACATTTCATTACCTAATTTTAATTCAAAATAATAAAAGCAGATATTTTTGCCTTCTTTTAGTAACCTAGTAAAGGATGTTCCCATTTTTTAAATTCTTTGGTTAGCTGAATAGTTAATGAAAAAGCTGCATACAATCATTGCCCTTATGACGAACCATCGTCTAAAGCTTGGAATTGAATGCTTCTTTTCAACATTTGCTGCCTAAGACTTAAATTACTATACATGTTAAAAAGTACATGAAATAGCAGAACTCTTTTTTGTACGGTAAGTCGGAAATGATCCTTAGATTAACAAGTCGAAGTTGAATTCTCATTAGCTTTTAAGGAGCCCTACTAACTTAAGCAATTATCGTTTAACGCCACAAGGGCATAAATTTTTTCGATAATTAAAAAAAAAAAAAAAAAAAAAACATTGAATCTAATTTTACGAAAATATATACTTTCAAGTTGGATGGAAAACTTTTTCATTTTTCTGTCCAAACCGATTCTAATATATTTTTCAAAAAGAATTCAAAATTTTTGTTTTCTTATATAATTATCTCGCTTTTACTCGTATTCTTATCATTTATTAATGCAAAGTTCCCTGGACCGGATAGCGCAGACAAAACCATTTATCTATTTAATTCTTTAAGTTATAAGCATTAATGAGTTAAAACTACTATCATATGCATCTCAAAGATAGTCATTTTATTTTAATTTTATTTTATCGTTTAAAATTTTGTCTCAGTACTCTAGAATATTTAACTTTATATTATTTTATTTTTGAGCTCCTAATTCAAAGGCTTGCACCCCCTTCAAAGTAGAGTTATATTTTCGTTTACGAGACGTATTTATTAGTATATATTTAATATTTATGATTATGTCAACCTTGGACTTCTAGTGTTTATTACCCGTTTTGCAAAAACTCGAATGCCACCCGCAAGCGATGTTTAAACCTTTTTTTTTCTTCTTCTTCATTTTAAGAGGAAATTTTTTTTCAATAATGAGCAATAATGGCAAAAACTGGCGCCAAAAACTAGACTTTCGTATGAGATGTGGTCCCAATAGTTCGTTTTGGGTTAACACTTTGATTCCACTTTCATCGGTCATCTCCACTTCCAAACAAGTTAAACTTTCTAAATAACAAGATTTTAGCCTTGTACAACAGCCTTTCTTCAAGAGAATATTTTTTGGCGCTCACTGCAGGAAAACGAGGGGTTCTCTCTTAATTGTAATTTTTTCAAGGTTAGAGCACTCGCACGATTCATGGACTTTCCATCAATGTGGGTATGCCCTGACTTATAGATCAGGCGCCTAGAGGCTCTGAATTAGATCAGCCCTGGGGTTGGTGACATATTTATAATATCCCAATGGATTGTACACTCGCCTCTAAACTTACTCTAGGGTCTCGAGCCTCAATTGCTAGGCTCACCATTATGTGTGACTAGAGTTTGTTATGGTAGGCCTCCCCTTTGCTTCAAGGGTTTACCTCCAGGCTCTCCAGTTTTCATCCCTCCTTAAAGCCTAGCACGCTAAATTCCAATTCCGGCTATTTGGGTRTAAACTTTCTTATGGTCTATCGCTACGAATCCTGCGCCCTGATTGGCTGAGTGGAGAAAAGAAGCGTTTTTGAAAACCAAAGCGAAGCAAAAATAAATTATTTTTTCGATCTAAGTTCAACATTCTTTTAATTCATTTATTTGACCTATTGGTAGGTTTATAACAAACAATAATCTTGTCCTCATGGTCTACCGGTCGATCTCATTTGGCGTCCGCTCCATGGTCTATTGAGTCGTAGACCATGAGGGATGCGGGTCTCATTGTTAAATATAGCCGTTTTCCGCCGAACGGCTATTCAAAACAAATTTTATGAAGACTTTTTAATGTAAGACGTCGCGTGCAATTCCCCTAAAATGTGAGATTATGCATTGTTTTGCCTTTGGTAACATTTCGCAACAACCACAACGCCGACGACAACAACAGCAACAACAACAACAATGATGTATTACTTATTATCATAGTTTATTGGGTATAACAGAAACTACAAAAACCCTTGAAACTAACGATGAACTAGTCAACCAATAATAATAAATGGTTTTACTCCGATGAAGGACTAACGTCCGAAACGTCAGTTTCATTTTTACATACCAT